GCTGTGTGGGCAACGAGCGACAGAGTCGATACACCGTCACTGGCCACACGGAGGTCCTGCTGATTGTGGGCAGAACTTTCCAGCAGTCTTGGTGGCATACCACTTGGGTGGAGCCCTCTCCGGGCGCAAGTTCTTATCACGGATCATGCGAGCGTATGTCGGTTTTCCATGTCCGTCAACACGAATTATGTACAGGGGCTTGAGGGTCACATTCCGAGTAGCTAAACCGAGAGCACTCTTCCAGCCCAGTAGGGAGGCATTTACGTTGGGGCACCATCGGGCCGCAAACGGTCTCCGCCACAGTATTGGATGGTGATGGGTTGGGAAATGAATCAAGAGGCCGAGGCGGAGGAGGAGGAGGAGGAGGAGGAGGAGGAGAAGGAGGAGTTGGAGGAGGAGGAGGCGGAGGAGGAGGAGAAGGAGGAGGAGGAGGAGAGGGAGGAGGGAGGGAGGAGGAGGAGGAGGAGGAGGAGGGAGGAAGAGGGAGGAGGAGGAGGAGGAGGAGGAGAGGAGGAGGAGGAGGAGGAGGAGGAGGAGGAGGAGGAGAAGAGGAGAACCCCCGAGGCAGCAGGAGGACGAGCAGCGGCTGGAGGCGCAGGACGTGGAGGCGGGACGGTAGGAGCAGCAGCAGCAGCAGCAGAAAGGCGGCCCGTCTCCCGGAGGCCGCTGGCGCCGCCGCGAAGAACGCGCAGGACGCGACCCCGCGCCCCGCTCGGCTCTGGGAGCTGCCGGGCGAGCCCGGCTCGCCTCGGCTCGGTGCCCACTTGCTGCGCGGGCCTCGGGGGCCCCGCGCCTGCCGCGCCCTCTGCGGCGCTCGGTGCCCGCGGCACCCGTCGGCGTCGGGAGGCAGCTGAGCTGCCTGCGGCGTCGCAGCGCTGGGCGGGCTTTCCAGGAGGGGTGCCTCAAGCTTGCGGACGGCTTTCGAATCGGATCCTTGTCCTCGGGGGGGGGGTGCCTTTTTCCCCATGCTCTTTTCGGAGGTCCCCGCTTCCTCTCGCTCACCCTCAGCACTGGGGGGTGGGACGCTGGGGTTCCTAAGGAGTTTTCGTAGTTTGTTTTCCCTTCCTTCCAGTATTAACCTTCGCTCTTTTTTGTGTTTTCTCTCTCTCTCTCTCTGTCTCTTGCTCCCGTTCATCCTCTCTCTCTCTCTCTCTCTCCTCACCCCCTTGAGACACACCATCAGTTTGCCAGCATCTTTACTAGTCAGCCCATCCTGCCTTCAGTTTGCCATTTTGCCTGCTCAGCCCTGGTACGCCCTGCCACTACCAGGTAAAATTGGGAAGCCTTTCTAAGCTTTGGTTGCCCTAGGCCTAGCTACGCTTTGCTTAGCCATGCCTAGCCGTGCCAAGCTCAGCAAAGCCCTGCTGAGCCATGCTAAGCTCTGGTAAGCCTTGGTCATCCCTGCTGGACCCTGCACGGCCCTGCCAAGCTTTGCTCGGCCCTTCTAAGCTTTACTGATCCGTGGCACGCTCTGGTAAGCCTTCGCCAGGCCTACTTCAACTCGCTAAACATTGTTAAGCTTTGCTCAGCCGTGCTGCCCCGCGATGCTTTGCCAAGCAATGGTGAACCCTGGTTCGCCCCTAAGCCTTGTGATTAACCGTGCCGCTCTCTGCTCAGCCCTGGGGAGCCCTGCGTAGCCCTGCTAAGCCCTGCTAAGGTCTGGTAAGCTCTGCTCAGCTCTGCTTGGCCTTGCTGAGCCTTGGGAAGCTTTGCTGAGCCCTGCTAAGCCATACGGAGCTCTGAGTCCTGGTGAGCTTTGCAGATTTGCAGAGCCCTGGTCAGACCTGCTCAGATTTGGTAAGCCTTCCTAAGCCTGTGTGGGCCCTGCAAAGCCCTGGTAAGCATCGCTAAGCCGACTGAGCCCTGTTCGCCACTCCTGATCCCTGGCAGGCTCTGCAAACCCCTGTTAAGTCCTGGTCCGCCCTGCTAATTCCTGGTGGGGCCTGATAAGCGCTAGTTATGTCTTGGTAAGCTTTACTAAGCCCTGCTAGGCTTGGTAAACCTTGCCAGGCCGAGGTCAGCTTGGTAAGCCGTGCTAAGCCCTGACATGTCTTGATGAGCCTTGCCCAGCCTTTGTAAGCTTTGCTCAGCCTTGCGAACCCTCGCCAAGCCTTACGCCCTGCTGAGCTCGGCTAAGCCAGCCCAGCTAGTCCCGCCAAGGCCCGGCAAGCCGTTTTAAGCCTTGGTGATTCTTGCTGCAGTATTGTAAGTATTGTTCAGTCCGGTTGAGCCTGCAAATATTTGTTAACAGTAGGCAATATGTTCTAAGCCTTGCCAAGTCATGGTGCGCCTTGCTGAGCTCTGCTAAGCTCTGGTAAGCTGTGCTATGCCCTAGAAAGCTCTGCTAAGCCCTGCTAAGCGCGGCAAGTACTGCTAAGCCCAGCTAAACTTGTCAAGCCTGACCAAACCGTGCTAAGCCTTGCTGAGCCTTGCTTAGGCTGGGTAAGCATCGCTCAGCCCCGCTACAGGCTAATCCTTGCGAAGCCTGAAGTCCTGCTTTGCTTTGCAGAGTCCTGCGTATCCATGTTAAGACCTGGTGAGCCTTGCTAAGCCTTTGTAATCCCTGCCAACGCCTCTTGGTGAGGTTGCTAAGCCCTGCTGCGCCTGCTAAGCACGGTTAAGCCCGGGCAATTTCAGCTGAACCTTGCTGACTCTTGCTTCGCCCTGTTGTGCATGGCCCTGGTGGTCCAAGTGACGGACTCTGCATAGGCGCCGCGCGCCCTCAATTGACGACTCGGGGGCGCGCTCCCCCTAGAGAATGTGTGCCTCCTCGTTCCCTGTGTCGGTGGCCCCGTCCTGTTTGGTTGCCTCCTGCGGGATCGGGTCCAAGTCGGGTCTGTGTCTTGCGCCTCCCTAGCAGTGCTCTCCTGGTTGCCAACTGCGGAGGCTGCGCCCTCCCTCCTCACGAGGGGCTGTGGTGACGAGGGTCCGTTCGAGGGCCCGCTAGCGTCCGCCGCGATGAACTCGCCAATGATCTCCGCCACGTCGTCGTCGTAGGTGTCCTCTTCGGCGTCCTCCTCTGCGGTGTCCTCGCTGATATCCTCCTCGGTGTCCTCCCCCTTCTCCTCCTTCTCCGAGGCGTCCTCGTCGGAGACTTCGCCCAGCACGTCGTCGTCGTCGCCGAGGCTGCCCCGAGAAGGGGCACTGCGTCGAGGAGCGTCGACGGCGAGCGGTGGCGGCCAGTGGAGGGGTGCGGCGACGTGGAGTAGCGTCGGCGAGTGCAGGTGGCGACGAGGGGCATCCAGGGAGGCCGGCCGCAGCCGCCGCATCGGCTCTCACCCTCCCGGACGGCGTCTTCGCGGGTACCATCCCAGGACTCTGCCCACCCACGGGAAAAGAAGCCCTCGCAGGTGCTCTCGTCGCTCCTCTCCCCCTCGGTCGGTGCCCCGGTCCCCTCTCCGTCGCCGGGGTCGAGAGCAAGCTGCTGGATCTCAGCCCAACACCAGCCAGGTAAGTTTAGGGAGCTTCCTCGCACACGCAGCGCTAGCCAGAAGCCGGTGCTGAGTATCAGATCTGCTGGGGGAGCATTTTGGCCGATGCTGTGCGCGACGGCCTTCGTCTGAAGCCTCTGGGGCCTGGGCCACGACGTAGGTGTTGTGCGGCCCTCGGGCTCCCTGTCTGGCCCGGTGGCGACGGTGAGCGGCGCTGGTCTGGCGGCAGGGATGCGTGCGTGTGTGTGTGTGTGTGGTTCAGCTGCGCGACGACGTTGGTAGTCGCCGTTTGAGTGCGCCAATGTGCGGGCAGCCGCCCGCGGTCTCGCGCCGTGTTGATAGTCCTGACGCGGTGAAGCGAGTTGACTCGCAGCGTGTGGTTGTTCGGGGTTGAGGCGAACATCCGCGGCGACGAGGAGGCCTTGCGCACAGCAGCCACGCAGGTGGAGTCGTGGCAGCGCGCGCCGCCAGCAACACATGGGGGCAGCGCTCCAGGCTTCGCAGATGAGGTCCGAGCAGATGGGGTCGGAGGATCGCGCCGCATCGCCACTGCATCGGCGACGTCGACGTGGAGGAAATCGGGCGCCGCATCGAGCCGCATCGCCGATGCGTCGGCGATGCGGCGCGATCCTCAGACCCCGTCTGCCCGGAGCCCATCTCTAGCCTCTATGGGCAGAGGGCAGCGGCATCGCATTCCTCCGCGAGGGCACTGCGCAGTCGGTGCCTTTGGGGGCGGCGCCGGCGCCAGCGGGTCGTCGCTCGGCGGAGCGGCGCCAGCGGGCTCGCCGCGGCGAGGCCTCTTGCAGCGGGGGGGGGGGGCGGGGCGGGGCGGCGGCCCCCCGACGCCTCAAGATCGGGCCGGGGCGAGGAGGGATGTCTGCAGAGGAGCAGGATCTCGGCGGCGAGCGAGGGGGGGGGGGAGTGACCAGTCGCTGCGTGCCCTCCTGGGTCCCCCCCCCCCCAGAGATTGCCCCCGTGTGGAGGCCTCCAGTCGCTGCGTGCCCTCCTGAGCCCCCCCCCCCCAGAGATTGCCCCCGTGTGGAGGCCTCCAAATCTCGGCGGCGAGCGAGGGGGGGAAGTGGGGAGGAGAGGGCCTCAGGAGGCGACGGGGCTTCTCCCGAAGAAGCAACCACGCCATGGATGTAACCTTTTGGCGTTCCGCGCGGATTTCTTGGATCCGCTCTGGGCCCCCCCAGGCGGCGCCTCCGGCGTCGCCCCTGGCACACTCCGCGCGTCAGGGAGGGGGGTGCTGCGCAGATCCAAGAAATCCGCGCGGAGCGCCGAACATTCATGTTTGTGCCGTTTTTCTTCCTCTATTCTCAGAAGCCCTCGCGACTTGTGAAACGTTTTCTGTGTCTTCGGGGAAGGCTCAGACAGCTTCTCAGAAGGCCCGCGGACTTCCGAACCTTCCGAGAAGGTCTTCTCCTTCTCATTTCCCCCCAGGCTCGCCGCCGAAAGTGGGATAGGAAAGGGGTAGGTACGATATTTGCTACATGCATCTGCGCGCCGGGAGGTGTTAGGAGGACCAGCCACGAGAATTGATTCGCGAAATCCTCGCTTTACTACCCCCTTGTCGTCTAACCTGAGCAAGCTGCGGCCTCTCTCTCTCTCTCTCTCTCTATAAATGAGCAGAGCTTGCTTCCATGGCAACATCCACTGGAGTTCGCCTGGGCCGCTGCAGGGAGCAGTGTTCTATTAGGATCGATCTGTGGGGAGTCGTGTGCCTGCCATGCTTTTGAACATCTGCGCATGCGGTGCCATTCGGTCTCAGACCGAACTTGCTGAACCACGGGGCCACATCGCCCCGCAGGAGCGCCAAGCGGCCGTGGCGCTGCTCACGCTCGTAGTGAGCCTCCCCGGGTGCCCCGAGTCTTGGCCCGCGTCCACAGGCGGGAGTTCCTGTGCTGCGTCGATTTGCAGGCCCCCGTCCAGCAACATATGTACACGTACGCGGTTAGTTTCCCCTGGAGTGCGTGTTCACGCGGACGTTCGTGCAGGCAAGACCGCGGAGGGCGTACATGTACATATGTCGTTGCTCGCCCAGGACCCTGCAGAGCGGTTCAGGATCATTGACGCTCCGCCTGTCCCCAGCAGCCCATGCACAAGCGGCTATTGGACAAAGCGTCGTGCGAGTGCGCAGTCGATCCGCAGCGCATGGATGAGCAGCTTTCCAGGGTTACCATGGCATCGCTCCCCTTTGGCCCATCCTCGGCCGCTGTCGCTGGCCGCGACTCGCCCGCAAAGTGCCGACATGGCCTTCCAAGGGCCTTGCATCCTTACAGCCAAGACGCTGAAATAAGGAACAGTTTGGGTTCGGAAGGGGCTCGATGTTCCTTAGGTTCCTCCAGTGCTGTTCCTCTTGCCCTCCTTGGGCACGGAGGCGCTTACAGGGCCAAGAAGGGGCTTCGTTCCTTATTTAGCGTTCCTTCTTTCAGCGGCCCGACTGTATCGTGTGTCCTTATTGTACTGGTTGACTGTACGTGAGTGAGGAGATGCTAGCGGAACAAAAGAGGGAGCGACGCCAATCCAGCCCAAGGTGGGATCAGTCCGAGCAGCCCCAGGCCCAAGGGAAGTGCTCCATGATAAGCTGCTACGACTTAAAGGAGGCCTTCTACTCGGTTGTAGTCCAACTGGTACATGGTATCCCAGGTGAAGAGGACGAAGTCCAGGAGGTGCTAGAGAACCTCGAGGTTCCCCTGTGGGCCCAGCCGCAGCTGGAACACCTCATGGCCAACCCAGGGATACTCGACACAGTGTTGGACGGCTCCCACCTGGCTGCCCTCATTGCAGAAGGATATCGCAACAGGTGGACATCACACAGGTTTTCCCAGAACCTTATGGCACCGCACAAGGGCACGAGGCCTGGCGTGCCCCTGGCCGACGCGGACTTCAATCTGCTATTCGGCCGAGTCCACCGCATGATTGACAACTACCTGGCGCAGCGAGGACTACGACCTCAGGGCAAGCCTCTTGACAGCAGCTTCGCATGCGACAACGACCCCACAGATGGGCCACTCCAGGAGCAAGAACCACACGGCCTATCGTTTGTCGATGACCTAACGGGCATGCACGTGTTCACCAGCCCCGACCACATTCAGCATGAGGCCACCGAGTTCTGCGAAGCCGTCTACTGCGCCGCCAGCACCTTCGGCCTCCAGCTGCAACTCACCAAGACCAAGGTGATGATTGACTTCAGTGGGCCTGGGAGCCGGCAAGCGCGGGCCAGTTTCTACGCCGAGGGAGTGCCGAGGATCGAGGTCCCCCTCGCAGGGAGTTACGTCGAGGTGGTTCGTCACCACAAGCTCCTCGGGACCTACGTGACCGACAATGCATCCCCTGGGGTGGATGTCGCAGTGAAGGTAGCCACTGCAGCGACATCCACGAGGCCTCTCCATCGAAGTCCACAGGCGATCAGAGCTGGCAATCAAAGACAAGGCCTATTTAGCCGACAGCGTGGTGCTATCCCAGCTATTATACAATGCGTCTACCTGGCCCGAACTCACCGCAGGCCAGGCCAGGAATTTCAACAACCAGTACATCGTCAACTACGCTGCGGCGCAGAGGATCACTTGGAAAGTACGACAGAAAAAGGAAGTAACGAACACCCAGATCCTCGAAGGAGTCGACAAGCTGCCCCCAGAGATAGTCCTGCGACTTGAGAGGTTACGGCTATTTGGCAGATGCCTCAACTGGGGACCCCTGCACCTCCGCCGGCTACTTAGCCAAGCATGGGACGGTAGCTACGGCTGGGTGGCACTGCTCCGCCGAGACCTGGATTGGGTCCGCGACCACACAGGACCTGACAAGCGTGGTGGAGCATACACGCTCGAGGACTGGAAGGACTGGGCCAGGAACGACTACCAAAGCTACCTCAGCGCAGTAAAGAAAGCTTGCCAACGTGGCAAAGCTCGCCAGTGCGACCACGACCACCATGCTCGATGGAGGCTTCGACTCCAACGGTGGACCAACACGGAAGCCATCTCGTCCTTCCCAGACCAGCATTTCGAGCATCAGCGCAAGTACTTATGCTACCACTGTGGACGTACTGAAGCCAGCGCAGCTGTGCTACGAGCACACATCACCAAGGACCACACCTCGTCGGGTCATCCTATTTCGTGGGTAACTGGTTCGGTCTGCTACGGATGCGGCATGGATTACCATACTACAAACAGGCTGGTCAAACACTTGCTGAGAGTGCGCAAGTGCGCTCGACATTGGAGAAAGACGCGCCCAGCAATCCTAAGTAGAGCCGAGCTGCAGCACAACCAGCAAATTGTCCGCGACCAGCAGCAGGCGAACCGAAGGGCGGGCAGGCCTATCGACTGGGCAGAGAAGCCTGCAGTCCCTGCTCGCCCTCCAGAAATACATACGGACGAGGACAGCGACGACAGCAACGGCGGCCACTACGAGAGCCTTGAGCTGCCCTTCATTGAGGAGCAGCCACCGCCGCCAGCCGCTGTACCGAGGCCCAGACCAGCTCGGACGTTATATGTGCTGCATCTATTCAGCGGCCGTCGCCGAGACGGAGATGTTCAGGACTGGTTTGACCGCCTCAGCAGTCGGGCTGCTTGCGACATACACATGCTCAGCCTGGACATCGCCAACGACCCGACCTTCGGCGACCTGACATCTGAGGTCGCAGTCAGCAAGTGGCGAGACATGGCACAAGCAGGAAGAATTGCAGGAGTCATCGGCGGACCGCCGTGCGAGACCTGGAGCCGAGCGCGCCACTTGCCCCCCAATGGCTGCAGGGGTCGGCCACCAAGACCCCTAAGGGGCGGCAACAGCCTGTGGGGCTTTCGCTACCTTTCCCGCCCAGAGATGGAGCAAGTAGCGACAGGCAACCGCCTATACAGGACACAGCTGGAACTTATGTACATGTGCCTCAATCTGGGAGTCCCAGGCATGCTCGAGCACCCGTCTGAGCCCATCGAGGAGCACTTCGCCAGCTCCTGGAAGCTTCCCGAGACGCGCCATCTCCTGAACCAGCAGGGAGCCGAGCTGATCACCTTCGACCAGTGCACCTGTGGAGCGCGCTCGAGGAAATCCACAAGCCTGATGGCGGTATCCCTACCAACCCTCCGAGCAGAAATCAGGAGACTGCCTGGAAGTGGAAGGTGCTTTCACACGGCCTCCTACCATGCGGAGCTGGCAGGCATCAACGATGAAGGCCAGTGGCGCACCGCGCCGGCCAAGGAGTACCCGAACAGGATGTGCCAGGCCATCGCGACCGCACTGGTGAAGCAGATCAGGTGGCGCTTTGGCGAGTCGCCCAACGACGTCCAGGGGTGGCACATCGACGACGACGTGGCCCACTTCTTCCAGCCGCTCGACCACTACAAGACCAGGGAGATGGGTCAGGACTACTATCGAGGCAGCAGGCGGAACGGCTCACCGACCTGGCTGGAAGAGGCAAGGGAGTGGGCCCGGCAGGACCGACCCGACAAGGCAATCGGCAGGGCCGCCACCTCGACAGGAGCTGTTCGGGCACAGGCTGACTACGAGGATCGTGACGAAGCGCCTTGACGACATGTACAAAAGAATCAGAACGCAAGTCCTGAGGAAGCCCCGAATGCGTGGGAACACCTCAGGCTACGTCGCCAAGTTTTGCACAAGTTGTCAGGACGCAAGACCTGGGGAAGCCCCGAATGCGAGGGAACACCCCAGGCTCACGTCGCCACGTTTTGCATAGTGACGGACACGGCCGCCGTGCAGCCAGGGCTCAGAAGTACCAGCCCGATGACCCCAACTGCACCAAGTACCAGTCAACGTTGCCCTGGTGAGGCAAGGATCAAACTTCGACACGGGCTCGAAGGGCGGGGGGGCAGGACGAGGACTGCCCGCGCCCACCAGGGGGGATGGTGAGGGGCAGGGGGGGGGCAGGACGAGTACTGCCCGCGCCCCCGCGGTCCGCCCTAGCTCGCCACCCCCACCATTCCCATGGCGGAGACGGAGCTCCCGAGCGCCCAAGGGCGTAGCATAGGGCAGCGTTGACCTTCCTCATCGACAGCAGAAGAATCACCGGCCTGGGGTTCGCCCCCACCGAGGGCACTGTGACCCCTAGCCATAGCGGGACGAGGCAGGGCCGCCATGAACCCTGCTTGAAGTCGGTGCATGGAGGCCAGAGTGCGCCCGCAATCTATTCCACCTACCAGCAACAAGCCGACCCCCATCGACCTAAACCAGTACGACCACTACTTCATCGGCTGGGAACCGTACCAGGAGAAGAGCCCAACGCAGTCAACCAGTTCATGACCAAGGTGACTGTGACAAGACGAAGAGCCCACCAGCAACGAGGCAGGCTCACTGGCACATCGAGGAGGCCGACCGCGATGCGGAGCGCCTCGCGCTGGGCCAGAAGGAGAAAATGCGGAAGCCGACGGCATCGCGGAGCTCCTCGCGCTGGGGGCCATCGCGGAGGCCGACGGCACCATGGAGCTCCTCGCGCTGGGCACCATGGAGCTCCTCGCGCTGGGGGCCATCACGGAGGCCAGGGGCGGGCGGGGTCGCCGCCCTCGACGCGACCTGAGGGCCCCGCCGCCCCCGACCACGCGGACGAGCTCAGCTAGGTCCCACCGAGGTGGGTGGGCCCTCGCCGAGCCAAAGGCCAGGGCCCCGCGGGCCCTCGCCCCCTCGGGCCCTTCGCCGACCGGTGTTGGGCCCAACGGGCCCGTCTTTTTCCCTTCCCCTTTCCTCCAGGCCCTCGCTGTCCAGGATTGAAACGGGCCTCCCTCTCCCCCCCTCTGTCGGCGGCCGACGGCCGCCGCGCTGCGCTTCAGGGCTGTGACCCTTACGGCGCGTCAAATAGCGGAAAATAGCGAGCAGCCCCCAACAATGGTCTGCTTTGAGGAAGACGAGTGCCTTTGGGAGCCACGTTAAGGCTCCCCGGGTGATCTTCTGGAAGCCCTTGGGGCCCACTTCGGGCTTGTCGGAAGCCTGCAGAGCCATGTTGGGGCCAGCTACCCCAACAAGGAGCGGCGTCAATTAGCCTTGCCGATGGGAGCCTGACAAATTATTTCTTGGGACCCTCTTGAAACTAGTCGGGCGTACTGTTTAGTGCCCTTTGTGTTCGTGTGCCCTTGTGGTCCATCTTGGGGCCGTCTTGATGCATTTGAAGCCCAGCGGAAGCCCAAAAGTGAGAAGGCTAAACCATACATTGCTTGGTTGCTAGGTCGTTTTGGCCGCTCGTGAGCATGATTGGAAGGCACGGGGGGAACATCAGAGCCATCTCGGGGCCTTCTTAGAACCTCTTGGAGCCACATTGGAGGGCAGCTAAGCCATTTAGGCAATATTGGATGCCATCTTGGGCTATCTAGTGCCATCTTGGATCTTTCATGAGCCGTCCTTGACTCGCTAACTAATCCTTCGCGGCCTTCCCGGCCCAGGCTCCCGAGTCGGAGGTCATAGACCCCGTCTGGAGGGGGGCGAGGGGGTTGTCTTGGAAGAGCTGGTCCGCCAGACCACATGCGCCCAGAGGGCTGCTGGGAGTCGTTTATCGCAGCTTTTCCCCAGCGGCTGGACGGAAGGTAGGCGAGAAGGCGCCGGAGACGGGGGCACAGCACATGGGGGCACCGGGAAAGCCGAGTTCCACGTTTGGCTGTGCCCCCGTTTAGGGGGCCCTGGGCGCTGTGGACGGGGGGCATAGGGAACGGGGGCATATGGAAAAGCCTGAGCCCCCGTTTAGCTAGTCCCCCGTTTACGAAGCCGCGATAGTCTAGGCCTCCTACATGGGGTCGAAGTAGATGGGTTCGAAGGATCGCGCCGCATCGCCGATGCATCGGCGATGCGGCTCGATGTGGAGCCCGACTTGCCCCACGCCAGCGTCGCCGATGCATCGCCGACGTCGACGAGGCATGGCCGGTGCATCGCCGACCCCATCTAGGAGGCCTCTAGATAGGTGGGACGCCGATAACAACGACAACGGTAACAACGATAACAACGATCACGATAACAACGATCACAACGAATACAACGATCACAACGACAAGAACGAAAGACGAGAGGGTTTGAGAGCGCACGCGGTGCCGCACGCCAACGCGCGCGGCCCCCCGCCGCGCAGGACTCCGCGCTGCCCGTGGCGCCACTGTGGTTCGGCCCCGGGTTCGAGATCGCGGGCGCGCTGAGCGCCGGGGGCGCGTGAAGCGCGGCCGGGCCGGGCTAGGCTGCAGACGCGCGAGGCAGCAGCAAGATCAGTGCTCGGGACGGTCGAAACTCGGAGGAGGATAAGGTACCCATACCGCTACCCTTCCTCGTGTTCGCCTTTTTGGGCCTCCTTGGAGGCCCTCGTCGCCACTGCTGGATTCGCCTCGAGATTCTGGTCAGAACGCACCCCAGGAGAGGGTAGCACTATCGGTACTTTTCGATCTCCCCAGAATTCGGTACGGAAGCAATCGGCACAAAGACCGACAGCATGTCTTGTTCATTTTGAGCAGGGCTCGCTGTCTGTGTCGCCGCAGGCGGTATCCACTTGAGACAGAAGGCCGCCTACCCAAAAGTGGCCGCTGTCGGTTTTGGACAACAGTTTTGTTGGGCCTCGTGCCCATTTTGTCCCGTACCCATTCCGTGCGTCCAACAATGCATCCGGCGTCATCCGTATGATCCTGGCGGGCATGCTGTCCGACTTCGGCGCCGGATGCCTGTTTCTCGGTTGGCAGCAGAGAAAGGGGAGGGGGAGAGCTTCGAATTGAGAAGGGTCTCCCAGGACCACCCTTGGACGACCACCCCAGGACTCCCCCTCACACTCACACGCGCCGACAAGGTCGAGGGATTTGTGGTTGAGCGCAGGCGTATCCAGTCGCGCTGCCACGAATAGCCGCCTCCGGCTGTGGCAGGGGTCCAGGGGAGAGGGCCTGGGGTTGGAGGGACGGGGTCGGGAGGGCCCCATGGATGGTCACACCATTAGCTTCGTTTTTGGCATCTTCTTCCGGACGGCCAACACGTGAGGACTTGGACCAACGATCTACGCATGCCAGCCTCGATGCAGTGTTTGCTTGGGTCGGGGTTGCTCCGCAGGATGCAAACCGATCGGCGCGGGCCCTCGCATCCCCCCCCTCCCGACCCCCATGGAGTAGATCTGAGCTGTTTGTTGGCGCCTGCTTCGAGTAGGCGGAGTCCCCCCCAAGGGACGCACTGCTGCAAACAGTCGCACTGAGCAGAGGTCCGGAGCCAGACCCCCCCCCTCTCCCCCTCTTCCGCCCAGTGCCGAGACGCCGAGCACGAACGCGCTCACCACACGCGAACACAGACCAGCCGCGGCACAGCGCGGCGGCGGGCCCTTCGCCCTCGCCGCGGGGAACTGCCGTTCGCGTCCACGGTGCCTTGGAGGCAGGGCTGCATACGGTTGCGACGTGCACGCGTTCTCGTGCAGTCGTGACCGGCACGGGCCCCTCCGGGGCCACGTCTGCGGGCCCTGGCCTTCGGGCCGCTCGCGGGACCCGGGTCGGGAAGCCCACCTGCGTGGCCGAGGCCCGCCGTGGCCATGAGCACCCTGCGGTTCCTCGTGCGGCCTCCCTGCTGGTAGCACGGCTGGCTGTAGTCGTGGGGGCGCGGTGCAGCACCGGGGAGGGAGCGGGGCGGTTTACGTCTCACGGTGGCCCACACAGGTCAGATGCACGTCGGAGCAGTGGCAGCGGGTTTTCTTGGTGCCGTAGTTCGCGCGAGAGGGTCTGCGCATTTTCGGGGCACCGAATCATCGGCCGTCCCATAGGTCGCGTTGCCGCTTCATGGGGAGCGATTCAGCTGCAGCTCTTTGGATGGATTGGCTTGTCAATCCGTAGGGCCCAGCGATGTCTGCGCGCAAAATTGGGTTGCCATTGGAAGTGTTGAGTAGATGTTGCATTGACGGGATGTCATATCTCCAGGTATCGCCGCAGCACTAACGCGTATCACACCTCATTTTTCTCTAGCCAGATGGTGCGGGAAGCGGCGTGCGAGGGGCGCGCATCTCATGCGTGTCTTTATATATACATATATATATATATGTATACATATATGTGTATATATTCGGGGGTGGACAGGAACCCTACCGTGACACGTCGATTAGTGAATTGTCCGCTTTCGGTTCTCGAGAGGGCGCCGTGGCCGTCATTTTCCAGGCTTTCGCCCGCCAAATTTGGGCCCGAGGTCGTTTTCACTAAACCATCTTTTGCTAAAGGGGGTTCTGTCCATCCCCGATTTGTACATACAGAGTTATACAAATTACACTCACGGTGACAACGGGGGGTGGGCCGGGGATCGGCGCAGCTTTCGGTTTGCGATTGCGAGTGGCTTCGCGTCGGACCTGCAGTGTGTTTACGCTTACACCTCCTGCAACGCTTCTGCCTCGTTTCAAAAGCCAGTCTAACTCTTCGAACCCTTCGTGTGGCATCTTTGAAACCCTGTTTCCTGCCACAGAATTCTGCCACTTGCACTGTTTCGTGCGCGAGGCGCCCTCGAGGGCCTGCTCCCGCTTGGACCCCGCAGGCGTGCGCGTGGCTTTCGGGCCTGGATCCAGGCGACGGCGACGCCCTCGTGGGCGTTCAAGTTTGAACAGTAATTATCAGGCTGATCCGACTCTGCCAGTTTTTTACGATTTCCGTTGTCGAGCACCCGCGATCTTTCAAATTGAGCGAGCCATCCCGTGTCAGAAGCCAACGCCCACGCCATCGTGATTTGAACCTGCCCTATTGCTACCGTAAGAGGCATCCTTGAACTCCTTGTACGAGGGCGTCTTCAAACTCTTGACGCTTCGCGTGCCCCACCAGCCCGTCCAGCCCATCCAGAGACGATGCCCAGAGGAGTTGCCTCGATTAGGGAAGGGGTCAGCGCACAGAGGAAGGGTCCCTCTTTGAGCGCTATTGGGTGCATCGGGGAGCCTCCTGGGGCCTCTTGGGGGTCTCCTGGGAGCCTCTTGGAGGCCTCCTGGGCGCCTCTTGGGGCCTCCTGGGCGCCTTCTGGGGCCCTCTTGAGGCACACTTGGTAGCCTTGGGAGCGCTCTAGGGGCCATCTTGGAGGAGATCGATCAACCACGAGGGTAGCTCTAATTACGTCCCCCCCTTCGGGAGCTCCCACGATCGCCTCTCGGGCCCCTCTTGGGGCGGTCTTGGGCGCTACTGAGGCCGTTTTGGGGCTCCCGTGGGCCTGGGGCCTTCGTGTGCCGTCTTGGAGTTGCCTTGAGGCCTTGTTTGACGGATTTGGGCCTCGTGGCGGCCTCCTGGGGAGGCTCCGTGGCCACTCGTAGCCGTGTTCGAGCGTTCGTGGGGCCTCTTGGAGCATCTTGGGAGTCATATTGAACCGTCTTGGGCTACCTTGGGCCATCTTGGAAGTCGTCTTGGGCTCCCTGAGGCCCTCCTAGAGCCATCTTGGGCCATCTGGGACGCTCTAACGCCTCGCGACCCCTCCCCCCCTCCAGGTCCAGGGGAGGTAATAATAATCAGCGGCGTGGAGGCGCGCAGAGTTCTCGACTTCAGCTGTCTTCTCGCGGGGACGGCGGATGGAAGGAAACTGCTGACCAGTTTCACAGAACGAGACAAAGCTGAAACACTACACGGAATTTAAACTCGGCGGCCAGCCGAAGCTGGGAAAGTCCAGGAAGGCACTGGGAGGGGCCAAGGTAGGCCCCACCAGGCCGAACACGGGCCCTGGGGACAACCGCGCTGACTAGTCGAGCGCCCAGGCTGGAAAACAAAAAAAAACAGACGCACACAATATTCGACTGCAAGGAGGGAGGAGAGGAGGCGAGGGCGGCGCCAACACCAGGCGCGGCAGGCATCCACAGGCCTGGATGACCCAGGCGCTCACGAGGGCGCCCCACCGCACGTCACCGATGTACGACACAGTAGGTTGGTGAGTGGTTGGAGTAGGTGGGGCTATGCAAGGTTGCATGGCCCCACCGCCTTCACAGGAGCCGAGGCCGAAGCCTTCCAGGCAACTGGAGATATTCTTCAGACACACCAGACAAGCACTGCACCAGAAGACACTCCATTCCCAATGAATACGATAATCTGGCAAACAAGCACGCACGAAACCGAACAATGCACGGGTAATGGACGTCCGAGCGATGGCAAGGCTCTCGGCTACATTTGCGCGAGCGATCCTCGAATCCCCCTTGACGGCCATACCTCATGCGGGAGGTTTCCTCGGGCTCCTGAACTTGGCTGCAACTCCCGCGGGGGTCACTCTCGAGCTCCTGCTCCCTGCCACCTGCGCAAGGCATCCTCCTCCCCCCTCCTTCTCGTTTCCTCCTCCTCCTCATCCCCCTCCTCATCCTCCTCCTCACTCCTCCTTCTCCTCCTCCCCCCTCCTCCTCCTCCTCCTCCTCCTCCTCCTCCTCCTCCTCCTCCTCCTCCTCCTCTACACCAGGATCCGCTTTCCTGTGCGAGTTTCGGTGCGGAGCCGGAAACAACTTCGGTGTATAGAGTTCGGTGTTCTATCCCACCGCCCACCAAACCACCACAACCCAACCCGAAGGCCTCAATTTGCCCTCCACTTCCAGTGTGGGGGGGGGGTCGGGGAGCATGGGCAAACACACGTATGAAGCCCGTTCCCCCCCCCCCGAACCCGAAATTCGGGTCTTCGGGTTGGTTTGGGGTGGTCTGGTAGGTAGTCAGCATCCTCACGATTCTGCTCTGCAGGGTGTTTGTGAGGTTTGCAATCAGACGTGAAAAGATTTCGTGTCAAGGCTATCTGAAGAGTTTCGGCCACTGCCGCCAGTCACTGCTCCAGGCATCGGGAGATCCCACGTCGCCGTCGCCGCCGTCATCGTCATACTCCTCCTGATCCTTAATGCTCCTCCTCCGGGAATCTTGGGACCCTCTTTTGGCAGTTGTTGGGCCGTCCAGGGGGCATCCCTTCTCCTATCCAGCTGCCTGCGGCAAGTCTCGCATCCGTGCCAGTCGGGTGCTATCGGTGGCGACTGCTCGAGGGGCGACGAGAGTTTGTGATATGCGAGTCAAGCGGCGTGAACGGCACGGCGAGTGTTGTTTGATGGCGTAACCGTGCGGACATAATTTTGTTGTATATGGGATCATTTAAGGTGATGAGGCGGAGTAGGAGAATGAAGGAATTGATGATGAGTAGGGAGGAGAAGGACGAAGAGGAGGAAGAGGAGGAGGAGGAGGAGGAGGAGGAGGCCTCAGAGGAGGATCGTAGTGGACGCGTGCGATGTAGAGCGATGGTGATGGTGTTGAGGAGAGGAGGTCGAGGATGTGGAAGAGGATGAAGAGGACGAGCGTTATATGTGACACCTGTCGCCTTCACTTGGAGCTCATGCGGCAGTCTTGCAGATCACTTGGGACTCTGTTGGGCAATCCTGGAGCCCTCCTGGGTATATCCTGAACCGTCTTGGAGCCCTCCTGGTCGCCTGGGATGTCTCGTGAGGCTCCTTTGCTGCCCCGGGTGCCTCATGCCCGTCCCTCCCTCCGCTGCGCTTCCCCTGCCAGTGCCCGCCTGTCGGGCCCTCGCCCGAGTGCGGCCTTGGCAGGCGCGTCTCCGACGACGCCAGGACGCGCACCCCCCCCGCTGCGCCGCTCCTCGGGGGGGGGCGGGCCAGGGCAGCGATACGGCTGGGAACACGACGCCAGGGAGGACAGCAATTCAGGCGAGGATCCAGCTGCCTGCGGCAGACCCCGCCACCGGTGCCTCTGCAACAGCGCAGCAGAGGAACGAGGCTGAGTGTCGGAACAGCGCAATTCCGGTGGTCTGCGTTGGGGCGGGTCGTGATCCCGACTTGGTCTTCGTCCGCGCGGTAGGGAGGAATAGGAGGAGGAGGAGGAGGAGGAGGAGGAGGAGGACCAGTGTAAACCCAAGAGTCATCAACGATGTTGGAATTAACCCTCCTTCCAAGCTCCCTCATCATAGGCTCCATACAACGGTTCATTTCCATTGAGGGACCCGCTCGTTGGAAGACAACCGTTTGAAGACCTTGAAGCATGCCAAAAAAATGTTCTCGGGATTTCCACGCCACGGATCAACCTGACTGCTGCGTCCTAGCGATCTGGAATCGTAGCAGAACGCCATTTTCGAGACGTCAACACCGCGAACCAACGTAACTGTTGCACCCGCATAATCCGGAACTCTTCTAAAACGCCATTTCTGGTACGTTGATCATGGAAATCCGTGAAACGTTTTGCAACATTTAAAACGAATGTGCGCGGCGCTAAGGCGAAAGCCACATTTTGAAAAGAAACCGCCCTCAATCCGTGAAATTATTGCAACATGTTGAAACGAACGTGCGCGGCGCTAAGGCGAGAGCCACATTTTGGAAACCACCCGCCCTCAATCCGTGAAATTCTTGCAAAGTTTTAAAAACGAATATGCGCGGCGCTAAGGCGAGAGCCACATTTTGAAAGTCCTCCCTCAATCCGTGAAACTTCTGCAACTATTTAAAACGAATGTGCGCGGCGCTGAGGCGACAGCCACACTTTGAAAACGACCCGCCCTCCATTTGTGAAATTGTTGCCATTTCTGAAGCTTCAGCATCATACATGTTAGGAAGTCTCAGGCGAAACGCCTGGCCCGCCCTAAAAACTGACCTAGGGGGGCGACAGGGATAAGTTATTTATAAGGAGAAGGAATGGAGGTGGAGGAGGAGGAGTCGGACGAGGAGGAGGAGGAGGAGGAGGAGGAGGAACATGTGGAGGAAAAGGCTTCTTGGGGCGTCCTGGCGGGCCTCCTGGGAGCTTCCTGAAAGCTTCTTGGGGGTCTCTTGGGGGCCTCTTGGGGGCCTCTTGGGGGCCTCTTGGGCCGTCTTACGGGACTCTTGCCCGCCTGACGCCGATGGAGGCCGCCTTAGGAGCTTCTCTGGGCCGCGTGGTGCCTTTTCGGGTCGGTTTGCGGCTGTCTTGGGGCCCTCTTGTAAGCCCTCTGGGCGATCGTTGTGTCCTTCTGGGCCGATTTCGGGCCCCCTAGGGGGCCTGTTGGGCTGTCGTGGGGCTGGCTATCTTGGAGGCCTCTTGGAGGCTTCTTTGGCCTTATTGGCTGGTCGGAAGCCCGAACAGACGAGAACCTCAACATCTTCCAAATACCGAAGGACACTCAATGGTTTTGGCCCGCTCGGGCTCTCCATGAGGGCCTCTTGAAGCTCTCTCGGGCCGTCTGGGGGCTCCTGGATCTGTCTTGAGACTGTCTAGGGGGCCTCTTGAGCCGTCGTGGGTCATCTTGGCGTCATCTTGGCTGCCGCGACAGCCGCCCTGGAGGCCATGAAGCTCCCAAGACGGCCTCGAGACAGATCAAGAGATCCTGAAGACGGCACCAAGGGGCCTCTCTGGGCCGTTTTGTTGCTGTCTTGGAGCGAATCAAGCCCGTCTTGGGTCCCACCCTGGGAACCCCTTGAGCGATCTTTGGGTCCTCTTGGGCCGGGGGGGCCTCTGGGGATGTTTTGGAGTTATCCTGGAGGCCTCTTGGAAGCTTCTTGGAAGCCCCTGGGTGGTCGGAAACCCGAACAGGCGAGAACCTCAAAATCCTCCAAACATCTCAGGAGATTCAATGTTGTTCGCCCCCTTGTGCGCTCCAGGAAGGCCTCTTGGAGCTCTCTCGGGCCGTCTTGGGGGCATCTTGGGCCGTCTTGAGACCCTTTGAGCTGCCCTGAGCAGTCTTGAGCCTCTCTTGAGAGGCTCCTGAGCTGTCTTGGGCCATCTTGAGCCCTTTAATTGTCGTCTTGGTTGTCTTGGAAGCTGACTTGGAGGCTGGCGCAGGGGGTGGGGTGGCCTTACAATTTCACAAACTCTCCACACAACAGACAAGCCTTCTAACACGCTCACTCCGTGCAGGCACGGTGGCGGATATGTGTCGGAACGCAGGCGTTGATGGTCAGAGTTGCCCATTTCTTACTTCCCGCGACCACTCAAGAGCCAGATTTCTATTCGTGGTGCTGGCAGGGTCGCGCCATCTGCCACGACGCAATGGGGACTTGGCCCCGCAACCGCCATCCCTGGGGGTCTTAGGGTGTCAGGGCCTTCACCGTGGGGCTCCCGAGGCCCGATGCTGCGCACCGACGCGCCAGGGCTTCAATCTTGGGCGCACCCTTGGGTGCCATGCCTCGCTGCAGGCGAGCACAGTCGAGGTTGATTAGTAGGTCGACCCTGCCAAATCAAGGGTGCCCTTGTGTCCCGTGTCTCGCGGCCCATGCCTTCTACACCCCTATAGCAACGTGGCCCTCGGAAGGGTCGCGTGCCCTCTCCAATCAACCCCGGCTTCGGCCCTGCCAAGTCAAGGGTGCCCTTGTGTCCCGTGTCCCGCGACCCATATCTTCTACACTCCTATGTCAACGTGGCCCTCGGAAGGGTGTGGTGACCTCTCGCGTGTCCACTCCAATCAGCCCTGACTGTAAGGTGCGCAGGGCTCGGGCAGGAATGCATTCGGAATGCCCACTCGCACGCGCCTGCAGGTGTTCAGGGGCACCCGCATGCGGCCAGGGGGCCCTGCAAGTGCCACGCGCGCCTGCGCCTGCAGGCGATGGTGCACCGCTGCACCTGCGGGCATGCTCCCGGCAGGGCTCGGCCTGAACGGTTTTTTGGCGATCTCGCGGATCGCTCTCGTTGTGCTTTCGGTTCGCCGCGGAGGCGGGACGAGGACAGAACGAGGGACCCGAAACCGGAGCGGAAGCGAGAAACACTGTTTTGGTCCAGCCCCGGTTTCTGGCTGCGCTCAGGAAGGCCAGACGCAAAACCCGGCATGCACGACGTCGGCAGACGTCCGATGTGCGGCTGCCGGGCCACGCAAGGCGCGAGCGACGGCGTTCGGAAGGGAGGAGGCGAGGACCCCCCTGCTAGATCGGGCGCGCGTCGCAGGAAGCTCGTGAAGCAGCACCTGACTTACGAGCCCAAGAAGCGCTGCACGGCGAAGGCAGGGAGATCGGCGACTGGGTGTGACGATCGACGCAAGCGCCTCCATTGCCGCCTGGGCGTAAGTCGGGCCTGTCCCTCTACAGGGGGAATATTCAAAAATAGTCCAACAAAAATAGTCTGGGGACTATTTTTGACTACTTTTGAGCATTTTGGGGATATTTTTGGGGTATTCTGAATTTTGCGCCCAATATCCCCCTGTAGGGGGACATGCCCGACCTAAGCCTGGGCCGCACAGCTCGACCCCCAGCGAGCTCCGGCGGCCGCGCGTCGGAGCGCCACCGGGGGGCAGGAGCCCAGGAGGGCTCCCGCGGGAGTCCGGCTGGCTGCTGCTGTCGCCACAGGCAGTGGAGCCGCACGGCACGAGGTGCCTACGGTCCGGCCCTGGCGTCCCGGGCTTCTCCCAGGGGGCCGGGAGTCGCCGAGCGCGTTCCACGACTCGCAAAGTGCCTACTCGCCAACGTCCGAAAAACCATGCGACTGCCCTCGTGTAACGTGTCGCATGTTCCCTGCGGCGAATCCAGGCCATTTGCGAGTAGCGGCTCTGCGAGTAGTGGAACGCGCTCGTCGTCCAAGGAGGCCGAGCGTTGCCCCATGCTCTGCGGCGTGCGCCAGGCTCAATCCAGATTCGCTCAGGTGCCGACAGGTCCCACCAGCGCCCAGGCCGTTCGTCGAACGCGGGGGCGTCTCGTCCCCCCCCAAACAAAAAAAACGTGTAGCGCCTTCCTGCGTCCACGATCGCAGGGCCTTCCTCTCGCCTCCCTTCTCTGGCGGCAGGCCGAAGCCCACTATAATCAGCTGAGCCGCCTTTATTATGCCTTGCTTGTGCCTTCTTCTCCGAGCGGCCTGCGCCGGTCAGGTTTCTGGAAGCGCTTGTAGTTAGCTTGAAAGTGTTAGGATGGTTTCTTGCGGACGACGCTTGACCGTGTTGCACAGCTTGCTCGGGGAATACGTGAGACTCGAGTATGCTGGAGCTCAGATCTGCCGACGTTTTCCGACGAGCGCGTCCTGGATTTTGACGGTCCAGTGTTCGTGGGATGTTTGCAGCGGGAGCTCGCATCAAATTTCAGATTTGTTCTCGTCATTTTTCATGGTGGCCCCGTCAGGCCAACACGAGCCCCGAACCCGAGTCTTACGTCTCCGCGATGTGTGAACATCTCGTCTTACGCTCCTGGTGCTATCCTTATGATTGTTTCCGAGCCGCGTCGACTTCCCTCCGCCAGCCCCCCAACGTTGAGTTGTGCACTGCAGACCGTGGACGGAGGAAAGGAGCAGACGAGAATGGGAGATGAGGGGAGGCGATAAAGAGGGGAGGAGGGGAGAAGCGGGTTAAGAGAGGAGCAAGCCCGGCGTGCACGTGTTTTCGAATTCTCACCAGCCGTGGAACACTTCGGGATCGTGAGCCTCCGACGGCAGAACGCATTTGGATCCTGAAAGCTTTGTCGGCATCGGGCTACTTCTGATGGGGCCTGCGTAGAATTCGCCGAGCGCGTTCCACTACTCGCAAAGTGCCTACTCGCAAACGTCCCCACAACGCATGTCCGTTTTCGATGTAATTTCTCGTAGCTCTCCCGCAGCGGATTCGGGCCATTTGCGAGTAGTTACTTTGCGAGTAGGCGCTCGTCTAAGAATGTTGAAACATGTGCAGGAATGTGGTAGAGTATGGGGGACTGCGGCAACTCAAACCCATTTCATGCTATCCCTAACGCGTGCATTTGCATCCAATTGTCAGGGACATACGCTCCTCTGGTTTGACAGTGGTTTCCACTTGTCTCCGAGAAGGCCCCGGGGCGGCTCCAGGGGCCGTCGAGAACCCCCAACTCGGCCCCCATGCTCCCGCCCCCCCCCCCCCTCCCCCCGAGCTGCCACAATGCCAGCGCCCAGCCGCCGGGGGTGCCCCCAAGAAGCCCCCGAGCGGCTTCCCAGAGGCCCCGAGGAGGCCCACGAGAGGCCGATATCTATGAGGAGGGGGAAAAAACACAGACACAATGAAGCGTCGATTCCCAGGGAAATATTTGAAACTAGGGACCCTGCGGAGAAAGACGAAAACCCCGAACATATACGCAACAATGTGGGGAATCCTTGGGATTTGTGTCCCAGGGCCCCTTGAAACTAAAAGCTTCCAGGAGGCCCCACAGGCAGGCCTCCGATGGGGCCTCTTCGGGCGACTCCCCGGCGCGGCAGTCCAGCCGCGGGCGCAAGCCGGGGGCCCCCAAGCGGTGTGGTGACCACACCGTGCGGTGAGTCGGTGGGGATTCGGAGTCACCGCACGGCTTTGGGACTCGGGCCGTTCTCCGAGGATGCCTCGGGCGACAGGAGCCTCTGGGGTCCCAAGGCCGTGCGGTGACGGACCGTGCGGTGAGGTCTTGGGGGGATTTCGAGGTCACTGCACGGTCTGTCGCCGCACCGTTTCGGGGCTCCGAAGAACGAGGAGCGGCAGGCAGGCCGGCCAGCGGGTAACAACAGCAAAAAACAGCAGCAGGCCCGCGCGGCGTGCACGCCTGCGGGGCCGAGTGCCCTTCTCTCCTCGGGCACCCCTGCGGAGGCGAGGGGGAGGGGGAGGGGGAGGGGGAGGGGGACAAGCCAGGTGCGCTCGCGTCATATCTGACATCCTACCCCTCCCTCCCATCCCTTACCATGGCGTAGATCCCCTCTCTACTCGCACAGTCGGATGTCGAGCAGGGCAATGATCCCGAAAGGGTACGCGATGCATTGTAGAGCACGGCATGGCATGGCGTAGAAGAGCACCGCAAAGCGTAGTATGTCACAGCATGGCGTGGCGTGGCGTAGTGAAGAATTGCATCACAAAGCTTTGCAACGCAAAGCATGGCATCGCACAGCGGCCCCGAACATAACATTGCATAGCATGGCGTTGAAGATCAAAGCGTAGCATGGCATAGCACGACGTGGCACTTAAGCATTGCATATCACAGCTTCAGCTGAAGGCATGGAATCGCGCAGCGGAACGCAACCTAGCATTGCATTGCATGTCGTGGCATGGCACGGGAAATGACGCCAGCGCTGCAGCGGGAGCACGATTCGGAACGAGCGGAAGCGCGTAAATGAGGCCAGCGCTGCAGCGGGAGCACGATTCGGAACGAGCGGAAGCACGGAAATGAGGCCAGCGCTGCAGCGGGAGCACGATTCGGAACGAGCGGTGGCCCGAAAATGAGGCCGGCGCCTCAGCGAGAGCAGCATTTTGAAAACAAATGCAGGCGAACACCCAACTCCGGGGAATCCTGTGTGTTAAAAAACAGTACGCGGGGGGGGCGAACACTCCCAACCCGTCATCAGGGGAAGGAGGAGAGTAGTATTCATATTGAGTTATTGTGGAGGGGGAGAAAGAGGAGGACGACGAGAAAAGGAGGAGGAGGAGGACGAGGAGGAGGGGGAGGAGGAGGATGAGGAGGAGGAGGAGGGGTAGGCGGAGGAGGAGGATAAGCTAGGCGCGCTCGCGTCATATCTGACGTCCTACCCCCCCTCCTATCCCTTATCATGGCGTAGATCTCCTCTCTATTCGCACGGTCGGATGTCGTAGCGGGGCACAGCATTGCATGGCATAGCATGGTTAAGATCAACGCGTGGCCTGACATAGCATGGCGTAGCGACGTCCAAAAGTGGAGGGGGCTTCTGCGACCCCCAAAATCCACGAATCGACACCGAATGTGTAGTGATTTCCAATGGCTTTGTCAGGGGGGCATTTTTAAATATTTTGGAGCCTATTTGGAAGGACAGAAAACCATGCCGTGGCATGGCGCTGGAAATGATGACGCCAGCGCTGCAGCGGGATCACGATTCGGAACGAGCGGAAGCGCGGACATAGGGCCAGCGCAGCGCTGCAGCGGGAGCACGATTCGGAACGAGCGGTGGCCCGAAAATGAAGCCAGCGCCTCAGCAAGAGCAGCATTTTGAAAAAAAAAACCAACGAACATCCAACTCCCGGGAATTCTGTGTGTCAAAAACGAGAGTACGCGGAGGTCCCAGACGTCACCAGGGGAGAGAGGTAGTATTTATATTGTGTAATTGTTGAGGGGGAGGGGGGAGCCGTTCCCCACACAGTGCTTTCACTGAGGGCTTCTTGCTGCGACGCTCCAACTGCCCGCGACCACCCCCGTCCATGTCCAGGGGGAGGGGGGAGGGGTAAACCTCTCCCTGAAGGGGAAGAAGGGGGTTGGAAGAGGAGCCCCCCTAGACCACCTACGCCCCTAGGACTGGTGGGATTACACGAGAACCACCTATTACAGGAGAGCCGGTTCGACATACATACCCGCATGACGCCGAGGAGCGAAACCGTCGTCACGAGTTGGATTGGTTGAGACGTTCAGGGTCGATGGGGTTAAGTTCGAATGGTCCTTCCTTATTATTCCCATGGGCCGCAACCGAGGCGGCGTTGAGTGACGTCTGGATCGTGGAGCAGGCCCCGAAGGCCCCCACCTGCTGCACCTTTCTACCAAGCTGTGGGGTGGCAGGTCCGTCTTCACTCGTACATTCAGTTGTCTTCCGCCGTCCATGTCCCATTCCCCTCCCCGTTATTTTCCTCCTCTCACCTCCTACCCGTCCCCGTGTAACTGTTCGTGTTCGACCATCCTTGGGTAGAGCGTCGATTGGATTCTTTCGATGCGAAGAATACCCCCCCCCCGAAGGATGTCGAAGCCCCTCACTAGGGGGGCTGGCTTTCGCTTTTCGCCAGTAATCCCACTTTTGACGACTGGCTCGGTACGGAGTGGGGGGACTCGGCAGGGCTCGACCTGCAGTCAAAGCTCACAGTAAGGACGCCCAGCTGTCTCTGTGGCCCCCTTGAATTCTTGCCTCTGCGGCTCGTGCTTCGCGGAGTTCATTGGCCATCCTTTTAGGGTGCCGGCAGTCCGCCGCCCAGATAGTACCAACTTCGGCTTCCAAGGCATGTGCTTCCTTACCGCCCGTCCTTGCTATAGATTTCGATTGTAAACGGCGGTTTGGCGATCTCGTGGGCCGTTTTCATTCTGATTCATTGGCTTACGCCACGCCGCCGACCCCTCGGGGCGGCAGCAATCGTCCCCCGCGTGGCCTGTCCGGACAGCCTGTGAGGCCCCCCCAGACACGTTTCGGAGCCCTCGTAGGACCGTCCTGCCGTTCCCCTGGGCCGTTGCTATGGTTTCTGGGGCCTTCGTGGGTCGCCTGGAGGCCGTCGTGGAGCCTTTTGGAGAGTCTTTTGGGGTGCCAGGGGTCGATCTTGGAGGTTTACTGGGCCGTTGTGGGCCTCGTGGAAGCCCAAGAAGCGAATATGCTGAAGATGCACGTTTTCCAAAGTGTGTGGGACGGTTTTTGCTTCTGGAGGCATGCTTGGAGCGCCTCGTGGTCGCGTATGCAACCGTCTTGAACGCCCATGGGGCTGTCTGGAGGCAATCGTGGGCGGTTTGGACCGAATCGTCCCCCGCGTGGGCCGTCCGGACAGCCTTTGGGAGCCCTCTTGGTCCGTTTTGGAGCCCTCTTGGGACCGTCATGCGGCTTGGGCCTTTCCTATGGTTTCTGGAGCCTTCGTGGATCGCCCGGAAGCCGTCTTGGAGCCTTCTTGGGAGCCTCTTCGGGTGACAGGGTTCCTTGGAGGTTTATTGGGCCGTTGTGGGCCTCGTGAAAGCCCAAGAAGCGAATGTGCTGAAAACGTACGTTTTACCTTGGGAATGGGACGGTTTTTGCTTGTGGAGGCCTTCTTGGAGCGCCTCGTGGTCGCGTTTTCAAACGTCTTGGACATCCATGGGGCCGTCTGGCGGCGATCTTGGGCGGTTTGGACCGAATCGTCCCCCGCGCCGCGTGGGCCGTCCGGACAGCCTTGGGGGGCCCTCTTGCCCTGTTTTGGAGCCCTCTTGGGACAGTCCTTCGGCTTTCCTAAGCCGTTGCTATGGTTTCTGGGGCCTCCGGACGCCGTCTTGTAGCCTTTTTGGGAGCCTCTTGGGGTGGCGAGGGTCGATCTTGGAGGCTTCTTGGGCCGTTGTGCGCCGCGTGGAAGCCGAACGGGCGAATGTGGTAACAATGTACGTTTTCCCTAGGGACTGGGACGATTTTTGCTTCTGGAGGGCCTCTTTGGGGCGCCTCGTAATATTGTTTCAAACGTCTTGGGGACTTATGGAGCCGTGTGGAGACACTCTTCGGCGTTTTTGGGCGATCCTTTGTCGATTCGTAGCTTTCTTGGACCGTTCCGGGAACCTTGGGAACCTTTTTGGTCCGTTTTGGGGCCTCCTGAGGCTCCAAGTGTCCGGACCAGGCCCCCGGGGGAGCGGTTTGGGGAGGGGGAAGCATCTCACACGCCGTGACCCCAAGGGGTCGGCGGATTTCGTTTTGCAGCAGAGGCGGAACGAAGACAGACCGAGAGAACGAACACACAACGAAATCGGAACTACTTTTTTAGGGCGATCCCTGGGATTGAGCATGGGGAGGTATTGAATCTCGTGTATTGCGAAATTGCGAAGGGCTTACGCGGCTGACGCCGCCGACCATGAAGGGGGACGACGACGACGGCGCTGACGTGGGTCAGGATCCTCAGAGATGCTTCTTGGGGTCTCTTCTCGGCGCTCTCGGGGGCCTCTGGGGAGCAGTTTTGGGTCTCTGGTGAGCCCAATCGGGGGCCTCGTTGTGCATCTTGGGGGCCTCTTGGGGGCCTCTTAGGGGTCTCTTCGGGCTTCCTGGGAGCCTCTGGGGGCCGGGGGAGCGAAATGTCCGTTCGGGTCCCTCGTCTTGGAGGCCTCCTGGCCCCCTCTGGGGTCGCTTGGGGGCCTTCTTTTAGGCCTCTTGGGCCGTCTTTGGGCGATCTTTGGGGCCGCTGGGGCCGTCTGAGAGCGTCGGGAAGCCGGAAAGGCGAGCACGCCCAAACTTGTCAAAAACCAAAGGACATTTGGTTCGTTTTGAATCCCAAGTATTTCGGAGCTTGCCTATTGTAGCAAGAGAGGTCGTTCATATCATGGTGATGGAAGCGACCCTGGATTTGCTTTACCTGCGTATTGTAGTGGCCTCCGGCCAGTGCCGCCGATCCGGGGCGTTCCGGATGATGATGATGATGATGATGATGATGATGATGATGATGATGATGATGATGATGATGATGATGATGATGATGATGATGATGATGATGATGATGATGATGATGATGCGGTGATGGTGATGGTGATTTTGATGGTGATGGTGATGTTCATGCTGATGCTGATGCTGATGCTGATGCTGATACTGATGCTGATGCTGATGCTGATGATGGTGATGGTGATGGTGATGGTGATGGTGATGGTGAGGGTGAGGGTGAGGGTGAGGGTGATGGTGATGGTGATGGTGATGGTGATGTTGATGGTAATGGTGATGGTGATGGTGACGGTGATGGTGATGGTGATGGTGATGATGATGATGATGGTGATGATGTTGCTGCTGCTGATGATGATGTTGATGATGATGAAGATGATGATCATGATGATGCTGATGCTGCTGATGATGACGATGATGCTGATGCTGATGCTGCTGCTGCTGATGATGATGATGCTGCCGATGATGATGCCGATGATGATGCTTATGATGATGCTGATGCTGATGCTGATGCTGCTGATGATGATGAATTCTGATGATGATGATGATGATGATGCTGATGATGATGATGAGGATGATGATGATGATGATGATGATGATGATGATATGATGATGATGATGATGATGATGATGATGATGATGATGATGATGATGATGATGATGATGATGATGATGATGATGATGATGATGGATGATGATGATGATGATGATGATGATGATGATGATGATGACGATGGTGATGGTGATGGTGATGGAGATGGTGATGATCCCGCCCCCCCCCCCACCCCCCTCCTCTCTCCTGCCACCCCCCTCTCTCCTGTCCCCCCCCTCTCTCCCCCTCTCTCCTGTCCCCCCCCCCTCTCTCTCCTGTTCCCCCCCCCCTCTCTCCTGTCCCCCCCCCCCTCTCTCCTGTCCCCCCCCTCCTGTCCTCCTTCCCCCCCCCCCCCCTCTTTCTTTTCCCCCAACCCTTTCTCTTGCCCCCTCCCCCCTCCCTCCCTCCTGTCCCCCCCCACCTCTCCCCCCCCTCTCCTGTTCCCCCCCCCTCTCTCTCCTGTCCCCCCCGCCCCCTCTCCTGTCCCCCCCCCCTCTCTTCTTTCTCCCCCCCTCTACAATTACTCAATATGAATATACTCTCCCTTCCCCTGATGGCGTCCGGGTGATGGCCGCGCACCCTCCGCGTTTTTTTTTACACACAGGATGCCCGGGAAATCCCGGGAAACGACTCTCGCTGAGGCGCCGGCGTCATTTTTCCCCAAAATGCTGCTCTCGCGCCGGCGTCATTTTTTCCCAAAATGCTGCTCTCGTTGAGGCGCCGGCCTCATTTCTGCTCCCGAATCCTTCCCCTGATGGCGTCCGGGTGATGGCCGCGCACCCTCCGCGTACTGTTTTTTTACACACAGGATGCCCGGGAAATCCCGGGAAACGACTCTCGCTGAGGCGCCGGCGTCATTTTTTCACAAAATGCTGCTCTCGTTGAGGCGCCGGCCTCATTTCTGCTCCCGAATCGTTCCGAATCGTGCTCCCGCTGCAGCGTGGGCCTCATTTTCGGATCGGTGTTTGGCCTCCGTCGTTCAGGATGGCGTTCTCGCCCCAGCGCGGGCCTTTTTCTCGCGCGCCCATCCGCCCGCCACCACCGCGCCGCACCGCCACCACCACCACCACCACCACCACCACCACCACCACCACCACCACCACCACCACCACCACCACCACCAGCACCAGCACCAGTACCAACACCACCACCACCAGCACCACCACCACCACCAGCACCACCACCACCACCATCACCACCACCACCACCACCACCCACCACCAGCACCAGCACCAGTACCAACACCACCACCACCAGCAGCACCACCACCACCACCAGCACCACCACCACCACCATCACCACCACCACCACCACCACCACCACCACCACCACCACCACGACAACCACGCACACACGCACGCACGCACGCACGTGCACCACCACCCACTACGCACGCGCGCGCGGAGCCACAGGTCCGCTACGACACGCGTCCGCGGATAGAGAAAATCAGCGGCATGGTAAGGGATGGGAGGGAGGGGTAGGACGTCAGATATGACGCGAGCGCACCTAGCTTGCCTGTCCACCCCTCCCCCTCTCCCCCTCCCCTCTCTCCTGCCCCCCCCCCTCTCTTGAGGGCTGGCAGGGGTGGGGGAGGTGCCGAGCACTTAATTCGTCAGGTAATTACGCCCCCCCCTCCCCCCTCCCAAGCAGAGCTAAAGCTAAAGCTCATGCTGAAGCAGAGCTTGAGCTTAGACTTCTTAAACTCACACGCCGGATCGGCGGATATCTACGGCGGCAGTTTGCCAGAGTAGCACTTAGAGATCCATTATCCCGGCAAAGCAACCCAACAGCGATGTGTAGGAGCATATCTGGAAGCATTCTCCTTAAGATTCGGATGATAATCCAGTTGTAGAATTCTGCTGTTCTCGCAGTCGTAGTCGCATTCGCGATGACAGTCGCAGTGGCAACGGCAGTCGCAGTCACAGCCTCAGCCTCAGCCTGCCTCAGCCTCAGCCTCAGCCTGCCTCAGCCTCAGCCTGCCTCAGCCTCAGCCTCAGCCTGCTTCAGCCTCAGCCTCAGTCTGCCTTCAGCCTCGCCTCAGCCTCAGCCTGCCTCAGCCTCAGCCTGCATCAGCCTCAGCCTCAGCCTCAGCCTGCCTCAGCCTCAGCCTGCCTCAGCCTCAGCCTCAGCCTGCCTCAGCCTCAGCCTCAGCCTGCTTCAGCCTCAGCCTCAGTCTGCCTTCAGCCTCGGCCTCAGCCTCAGCCTGCCTCAGCCTCAGCCTGCATCAGCCTCAGCCTCAGCCTCAGCCTGCCTCAGCATCAGCCTGCCTCAGCCTCAGCCTCAGCCTGCCTCAGCCTCAGCCTCAGCCTGCTTCAGCCTCAGCCTCAGTCTGCCTTCAGCCTCGGCCTCAGCCTCAGCCTGCCTCAGCCTCAGCCTGCATCAGCCTCAGCCTCAGCCTCAGCCTGCCTCAGCCTCAGCCTGCCTCAGCCTCAGCCTCAGCCTGCCTTCAGCCTCAGCCTCAGTCTGCCTTCAGCCTCGGCCTCAGCCTCAGCCTGCCTCAGCCTCAGCATCAGCCTCAGCCTCAGCCTCAGCCTGCCTCAGCCTCAGCCTGCCTCAGCCTCAGCCTGCAGCCTCAGCCTCAGCCTGCCTCAGCCTCAGCCTCAGCCTGCTTCAGCCTCAGCCTCAGTCTGCCTTCAGCCTCGGCCTCAGCCTCAGCCTGCCTCAGCCTCAGCCTGCATCAGCCTCAGCCTCAGCCTCAGCCTCAGCCTGCCTCAGCCTCAGCCTGCCTCAGCCTCAGCCTCAGCCTGCCTCAGCCTCAGCCTCAGCCTGCTTCAGCCTCAGCCTCAGTCTGCCTTCAGCCTCGGCCTCAGCCTCAGCCTGCCTCAGCCTCAGCCTGCATCAGCCTCAGCCTGCTCAGCCTCGCATCAGCCTCAGCCTCAGCCTCAGCCTGCCTCAGCCTCGGCAGCCTCAGCCTGCCTCAGCCTCAGCCTGCCTCAGCCTCAGCCTCAGCCAGCCTCAGCCTCAGCCTCAGCCTCAGCCTCAGCCTCAGCCTCAGTCTGCCTTCAGCCTCGGCCTCAGCCTCAGCCTGCCTCAGCCTCAGCCTGCATCAGCCTCAGCCTCAGCCTCAGCCTGCCTCAGCATCAGCCTGCCTCAGCCTCAGCCTCAGCCTGCCTCAGCCTCAGCCTCAGCCTGCTTCAGCCTCAGCCTCAGTCTGCCTTCAGCCTCGGCCTCAGCCTCAGCCTGCCTCAGCCTCAGCCTGCATCAGCCTCAGCCTCAGCCTCAGCCTCAGCATCAGCCTGCCTCAGCCTCAGCCTGCCTCTGCCTCAGCCTCAGCCTGCTTCAGCCTCAGCCTCAGTCTGCCTTCAGCCTCGGCCTCAGCCTCAGCCTGCCTCAGCCTCAGCCTGCCTCAGCCTCAGCCTCAGCCTGCCTCAGCCTCAGCCTCAGCCTGGCCTCAGCAGCCTGCCTCAGCCTCAGCCTGCATCAGCCTCAGCCTCAGCCTCAGCCTGCCTCAGCATCAGCCTGCAGCCTCAGCCTCAGCCTGCCTCAGCCTCAGCCTCAGTCTGCTTCAGCCTCAGCCTCAGTCTGCCTTCAGCCTCGGCCTCAGCCTCAGCCTGCCTCAGCCTCAGCCTGCCTCAGCCTCAGCCTCAGCCTGCCTCAGCATTCAAAATGTGGCCCGGGAATGGAGTTCTGGGAACTCGAAGAACACGAAGTGGCCTACAGTTGGCTCCGGGCATTCAAAATCATGCCCAGGAATGGAGTTCTGGGAACTCGAAGACACGAAGTGGCCTACAGTTGGCTCCGGGCATTCAAAATGTGGCCCGGGAATGGAGTTCTGGGAACTCGAAGAGCACGAAGTGGCCTACAGTTGGCTCCGGGCATCCAAAATGTGGCCCGGGAATGGAGTTCTGGGAAGTCGAAGAGCACGAAGTGGCCTACAGTTGGCTCCGGGCATCCAAAATGTGGCCCGGGAATGGAGTTCTGGGAAGTCGAAGAGCACGAAGTGGCCTACAGTTGGCTCCGGGCATTCAAAATGTGGCCCGGGAATGGAGTTCTGGGAGGTCGAAGAGCACGAAGTGTGTGACTGTTTGCTTAAAACGAGTCCGGTTCTCGCCTGTCCGGCTCCCGCCCAGACCCACCTGGGGAGTCATCAGATGCTCTCTTTTGACCCCATTAGAAACCTATCAGTCTTCGCTGTTAGGTAATCATGTTTGCACGCGTCTGTTCACCCAGCTCCGCTCGTCTTCACCAGGCGTCCAACCCAGGTGTATCATTCGCGTTTTGTGGGGGATTGCTCTAGACTTTTCATGGCGCGCACCGTCCAATTCGGACATGCTGCTGGTGACGGCGTGTTGCACCTCAAAAGATTCGACGCTCGCCTTGGGATGTACGTCCAGAGCATGAGAGTACGGACACGCCCAGCTTGGATGCTCTTCAGCATTCGTTTTTTTCGAACACGTGCGCACTGGCTCATAACAAGGCTGGCCATTTTGCAGATCCATCCACATGGATGTGAGGGTGAGTGACATCGCACGTGCTCGCATCCATGGCCCGTCTCGGCGCTCGTTGGTGGCTCCCGCGGCCTGCAGCTGCGAACTAGGAATCTCTGGGTCGCAACCGCAGTCGCCTCGGGCCCCCCCCCCGGTGACGCGTGGAGTCCCGGGCAGAGGCACCGATGGATGTTTGGGGAGCCGTTCACGGCCCCTCCCTCGCGCCCTGTCCCCTCTCTCGGGGGCGGAAAAGAGGGGGGTGATGACTAGGGGGGGGTGGATCCCATGGCGGGGGCCATGATATCTCCCCAGATTTCGTGGCGCCTCTTCTTGTTTATTACGTCCCTGGCCCCCCCGCTGGGCCGCGCACATGCCGCCGGTCATGATTTGCACCCCCCCCCTCTTGGACACCCCCCTCTTGGCCGCTCCCGATTCTCCCTTCGTGCCTCAGTTCGCTCCAGGTGCATTCCACCGCCTGCTGACCGGCGTCTGACTTCGCAGGCCTAGAGATCGACACCAACATCAATAGCGGCGATGTTCCTCCACCGAGGGAAGAAAGATCCCGGTCTCGGTGATGGTGGTAACATTCTGGCTTCCAAGGTGGCCGAAATATTACCGCCAACATCGAAATCTAGGATCATCTCCCCCTGTGGAGGCAGCCCCGTGTCTTGGTGTTGGTGCCCATTTCCAGGCCTCCAATGACTGTCCTTGACCAGCCGGCGCCCGCGGACTTACAATTTTGAGTGACACGCCAGCCAGCGGGGGACTCTTCGAAGTGCTCCCGGCCAGTCTGGCCTCTGCTTGCCACCCAGATCGCCTGATTCAAATATTGCACTCGTGCGGGTCGGTGTGGGATTGGCTCATCACCTAAGATGGTTGTCGCAGAGTCGTGCGAGCCTACTACGCCCCGTCCTACCTCCCCGAATGTTGCACCGCGTGATTTGGAAACGAGGCTTGCTCGAGTTGGATTGTCTGACGTGCTCGCTGCCTGCCGCCATTTGCTGTGCAGCTGGTGCCGTCGTGCACGCCAGACCGCTTCGGGGCGAGCCACTGTCCAGTGACCGCCAAAGGGAGGAATCAGCAGAACGAATACGTCGGCGCTGCCATTAGACTAGCGCCTTTAGGTGTGCACGCAGCCGGTTCCGTGCTCCTCGTCAGAGGAGGCCAAGGTACCTATACCTCCACCCTTCGGCCGTTTTGCCCTTTTGGGGCCTCCTGGGGGGCCCTCGTCGCCACCGCTGGGTTTGGCCTCGAAATTCTGGTCAGAACGGACCCCAGGAGAGGTCTGGGGAGTAGCGGTATCGGTACCTCTTGGTTTCCCCAATTGAGTGATGTTTTCATTGCCCGACAAGGTCCCTTTACACAGGAGGTTCCGACCAGGGCACCATTGGCCCGTTATGTTGTACAGGTTTCGCAGAATTGAACACCGAGGGAAGTGAATTCGATACGTTCGATGCGTCAATGGGTGAAGGTTAAGGGGCCTCATCCGTGTTGTTCTTCTTCGTCTCTGGGATTCGTATCCAGTGCATCTACGTATGCATATGACAAGTTGGAAGCCAGGCCAAACTCGAGTCGCTTCACCACCCCGACCTGATCGAGAACCTTCAGAATTTCAGGAACCACAACAAGCTGAAGAAGGCAGCGGTTCACGCGGTTGCAGGCGGCCGCGCGTTGCGATGTTCTTTACATGTGAGGGCACATTTTCGAACGATATGTCGTGGTGGAATCGAGTTCCCAAATCGGTGCGCGTCTCGCTTCCCAGAACTCGATGGATGGACCCGCCGAGTTCTGGGCGCACCAAGTCTTCGTCGGGGGCTCCTGGAGCCGAAACCTTTTACAGCAGTGGATCAAACACAAGAGCCCGGTGTTGGCCTCCCTTGCATGAGGAGTAGGAGTAGGAGTAGGAGTAGGAGGAGGAGGAGGAGGAGGAGGAGGAGGAGGAGGAGGAGGAGGAGGGTTTTGCTGGGGTTGGTGGGGCACAGCGGCTCCCGAGGAGTGGCGTCAGAGACCCGGGGGGGCACCCGGGGCGGCTCCCTCGGGGGCCGTGCGCCCCCCAGCGGCACCCATGACGCGAGGCCGTCCTCGCTCGGGCGCTGGGGTGAAGGAGGAGAGTGGCGCGGGCCGCTTGGGCTGGAGCTCAAGAGCTCCTCCTCCTCCTCCTCCTCCTCCTCCTCCTCCTCCTCCTCCTCCTCCTCCTCCCGCCACCTCCCCCCCCCAGAGCGCAGCGGAGGGCGCCCAGAGAGGGCGCAGACCGTCAAAGAGAGGCCAGCCCGGGGCGCCCACGCCCTTCCGAGACCCCTCGGCGAAGGGGTTTCCGATTCTCGTGAGCTGGAGGCCTCGTTCGATCCCCCTGGTTTGTTCGGTCTCCCCTGCGACGCCGACGACCCAACGGGGGCTGGCACACTTCGGTCTGGGTTGGGCTGGCCTCGCGTCGAAGAGATGCTCACACACGCCGACGGGGTCGGCGGGTCTTCGATATGAGGTCAGAGACGAGGCTTCGGATAATCACCATGCAAGCGGAACAACAAACTCGCATGAGGCACACGGGCAAGAGCAATCAATTGTTTATTCAATTTCATTTCTCCCGAACTTGCCGCCAGGGCCTGTCTATTGCAGGTATCGTCACCAGTTTGCGAGCATGATGTGTTCGTACTCTGGCATCGCTCTGTACAGCCATATCCTGTTCTTTGTGCGACACTCCTCCCGCGAGGTCAGCTCGGGGACGAGCAGATCCAAGATATGCGTGAGTTGTTCTTGGCCACGCGCCCAGTCGAGTCAGTAGTCCAAGGCTGCATGCTAATCAGAGCTTTAGAGCGGTCGGTCATGCGCGGTTCAGATGATGGGAAGCGCGAGACAGCTCTCTTTCTAGGGAAAAGGGGTAAGAGATGTGTTGCTTGAATTGGGAAGCGTTCGGGATAAATCAACAACTAGCCTTCGTCCCTTCGCTGTTCGCTTTATGACGGGATGCGCGAAGTGAGCTCCGTTCGGATTTGTTGAAGAAGGGGAGCTTTAGAGGGAGAACAGCTTGCCAAGCTACCCTGTCACCCCTTCGGTGTAGACCGGCGAGGAGAAGAAACACCACGGACCGAGGAGGAGCGAGGAGAAGTGAGGAATAGGACGAGGAGGCGCAACGACCAGAGTGAGGAGGAGAATAAGGAGGGGAGATACGCAATGGTAATGGTACTAAGGATGAGTGGCGGAGGATGAGCCGCAGGAGTGAGGATGAGTACAATGCGCGCTTGAGGCGTCGGAGCGATGGGGAGCCATGAGTAGCGAGGATGATCGAGGAGGGGGAGGAGGAGGAGGAAGTGGAGTTGAGCGGAAGCGAATAATAGAAGATGGACGTGACGCCGTTCCCGACGATCAGGGAAGAAGAGGCGGAGGAGGAGGAGGAGGAGGAGGCGGATCACAGATGAGGAAGGGATGCCAAGAGTAAGGAGGAGCAGTGAGGGGCGGATCAAAGAAGAGGACGAAAAGGAAGACGATGTTGATGAGCAGGAGGAGACATGTTGATGAGCAGGAGCAGGATGTTGATGAGCAGGAAGATGATGGTGATGATGGTGGTGATCATGGTGACGATGGCGCTGGTGGTGGTGATGGTGATGGTTCTGGTGGTGGTGGTGGTGATGGTGATGATGACGACGATGGTGGTGGTGGTTATGATGATTATGATGATGCTGCTGATGACGATGATGCTGATGATCATGTTGTTGATGATGATGATGATGCTAATACTGATGTTGATGGTGGTGATGATGGTGTTGATGATGGTGATGGTGATCGTGATGCCGATTTTAATGGTATGGATGACGACTATGCTGGTGCTGACGATAATGATGATGATGATGCTGATGATGATGATGATGATGCTGATGCAAATGATGATGCTGATTGTGATGATGATGACGATGATGATGATGATGATGATGATGATGATGATGATGATGATGATGATGATGATGATGATGATGATGATGATGATGGTGTTGATGCCGCTGATGATTGTGTTGGTGATGGTGATGGTGATGGTGATGGTATGGATGACGACTGTGCTGGTGCTGCCGATGATGATGCTGCTGCTGATGCGAGTGACGATGATGCTGAGGATGATGATGCTGATCATTATTATGCTTATGATTATGCTTATGGTTGTGATGGCACGGCGACGTACCTTCTTAGCCGTGTCCTATCTCTGACTGTTGAGTAGGTGTTGGAGGAGGAGGAGAAGAAGGAGTCGCGAATGCATCGCGACAAGGCATGTCCCGCCGAACCCTACTGTGCCTCCCAGACTTCGCGCTCCCCCCAGAGCCTTCAGGTCCAGCAAGGATCCCCACTGCACACGCGGAACCAGCTCGACCAATAGCCCTCCTGCGCGCCACTTCTGGCTCGGGCGGGCCCCTGGGCTATGGCCGACTACTCCCTTCCTTGAGAAGAGAAGCGGCAAACTAATAATAGAAAGAAACATTCAGCGGTGAAAGAAGGGTGTGCGAGTGTGTGTGTGTGTGTGTGCGAATATGGATGTGCCGATAGTAAAAAACGGGCTGCATGAGCAGACGCCCAAGCGCCCCAATTGTTACTATTTGGTGCTGGTCGCGCTAACTGACGCTTCAGGGTGGGCACAGCCCGTGGTCTGCTTTCCAAGCGAGTGGACAAACGTACAGTCTGCCCAGATTAGTAGGTCGACCCTGCCAAAGCAAGGGTACCCTCGTGTCCTGTGTCTCGCGACCCATGCTTCCTACATTCCTGTGGCGATGTGGCCCTCGGAAGGGCTTCGTGTCCTCTCGCGTGTCCTGTCCAATCGAGTCCGGCTGTAGGTCCGGAGCAGTGTTGGATTCGGGCGACGAGCAAGCTTCCACGTTCTGGCGTTGCGGCTGGTCGACGGCGTGGGGGCGCAAATCGAAGAAGCCGTCAAGACCCAACTGGTCTGGGCCGTTCCAGCCGTTTAGGGGCGAAGGCCTCTTGGGGGCCTCTGGGGCCCTGTCGAGACCGTCCGGGGCAAATATGCTGGTGCTCTCTTGAGCCTGGAGGCAGGAGTGCCAAAGGTATGATATCGGGGCTCAAGAGACGGGGGTCAATGAAAACGGGGGTCAACCTGAGCGCCGGAGACTGCAAGATCCTGCAGGGTCAGGGGTGCATTGACCCAGGCGTGGGCGCAGGATCCTGCAGGATTTTGCAGGATGTTGTGG